AAAGAGAGCACCTCTTCTGAAGGCTGGTGCTCACCTTGCAGGCATCTAGAAACTACTTACTGGCTTTCAAGTCGTTAACATCACCTAAACAAGGACTCCTGTCCCTCTTTTAATACAGGGATCCTGTCTCCTGGAAGACTTCATAAATGATCCTTTCAGAACCATACGGGTCTCCCCCACTTGACTCAGACCTCCTTGGGGGCAGAGACTCTGTTTCATTCATCAGACTGCCCCTGACGCATGGCCATGCTTGATAAATGTTTGTTCGCTGGTTGAAAGAGACATATGCTCTATTCATCTTTGTTTGAGTGAATATCTCAGGTTCTTCGCTGAGCACGGACTCAGAGCAGAGGGTGAGAGGGAGTAGCACAAGCACCTGGGGCTCAGGGGGGTGTGCCTGTCGGGGAGAGGGCAGCTCCTAGATCGGAGAACGTTTTCCTGAGACCACTCCCCCTCTACAGCTGTACAGAAAAGCAGCCCCTGCTGCAAAGTCAGGGTAGACATGTGTGCTTAGGCGGCATGCAGGAAGAAGCCTCAGTCCCCATCAAGGACCTGAATAGAGCCAGTGTTGTATGGTAGGGGGGGAGGACTCTGCCTGAGGAAGCCAGACAGGCCTGGGTTTGAATCCGGATTCCATCATTCAGCAGCTGTGGATCTGGACAAGTTACATAAGTGCTTTTATTTTAAATTTCCTCACCTCCGAAATGGGAAAAACAATACTATTTCCAAGGATTGTGGGCATAATTGAAGGAGGCAATGAAGCCCTAGTACAGTGTTGGACACATCACACATATTCAGGAAATGGCAATTATTAGCTGTAGTACTGGTAGTAGTATTGATATAATTATTTGGTTGGATGGAAAAGAGCACTATCCTTTTCCTCATCATTCCTTCAGTAAGATTTTGTGTCCTTTTTATGACAGTTCAGAGAGTTAATGACTCATTGAGAGCCAGTCACAACGTTTAGAGCTAGTGAACTCACTCCTCCATTCTTTTTTTTTTTTTGCATTTTTTTCTCCCCTCCCTTCTCAATTTCTCACTCCTGCTACCTCCTTCTCTCCTTTCGTTTTTATAATGACCCCCAATTTTGACCCACTCCCTTCCCAATCAATACTCGATACCACATTCTTCGTTTATTCTAAGGTGTGAAAGGGTGCTACGCCCCTATGATGTTATTCCCAGGGGATATTTGCACACGAAAAAGAACAGAATCCTTTAACTGAAAATATTAAGATCCTTTTTTTTTTAAAGATTTTATTTATTTATTTGACAGAGAGAGACACCGCGAGAGAGGGAACACAAGCAGGGGGAGTGGGAGAGGGAGAAGCAGGCTTCCCGCCGAGCAGGGAGCCCGATGCGGGGCTCGATCCCAGGACCCTGGGATCATGACCTGAGCAGAAGGCAGACGCTTATCGACTGAGCCCCCCAGGCACCCCTGAAAATATTAAGATCCTTTGGGTTCAGTGTTTTTCCAATTACAGGTTGCAATTTAAAAGGGCCAATTTAGTGGCTCTTGACTACCATTCTTTCATATTATTGTGCCTTATTACATGTTATTTAGTGTACTAATGTAGAGGGAAAAAATGCAAACAATTTCAAAGTCTAGAGGGACATGTAATTGCTTTAACCTTCAAGAGGAAGTTACTGTTATTTAACAATCCATTTATACCATTATGTGTCCCAGGTTTTAAATAACCAGCCCTGCTGAATCTCAGACTGAAAAATGAGTAAACAAAGGCTGACATCAGAGGAGTTACTAGAGGAGATGATACTGATAAAGAGTTGAAACTGGAACTGAACATTCTCAGATTCCTTTCACCAAAGGAAACTTAGTAACTTAAATAATAAAAGTCCATTTTCTGTGGGCACCTGGGTGGCTCAGTGGGTTAAGCATCTACTTTCAGCTCAGGTCATGATCTCGGGGTCCTGGGATCAAGCCTGCCTGAGCTCCCTGCTCCGTGGGGAGTCTGCTTCTCCCTCTGTTATATCTCTCGCTCTCACTCTCTTTCAAATAAAAATAAAATCTTTAAAAAAAGCAATATTTTTTAAAAAAGAAAAGTCCACTTTCTATACAGCCCAGTACTGTCACTTAATTAGGAAATCACAGTGTGAAAAAAAAAAAAATCTTTCTGGATTGCATTTGACTAAGGTACCAAAAGCACCATGCATAAAAGAAAAAACTGATAAGTCGAACTACATCAAAACTAAAAACTTTTGGGGCACCTGGGTGGCTCAGTTGGTTAAGTGTCTGCCTTCAGCTCAGGTCATGATCTCAGGGTCCTGGGACCGAACCCCACGTTGGACTCTGCTCAGCAGGGAGTCTGCTTCTCTCTCTCCCTCTGCCTGATGCTCCCCATGCTTGTTCTCTCTCTCTCTCAAATAAATAAATAAAATCTTTAAAAAAAAAACTAAAAACTTTTGCAGAGCAGAAGTCTCTGTAAGAGGATAAAATAAGTTACAGAGTATAAGATTTGCAAATCAAAGAACTCTCAAAACTCAATGGTAAAAACAGATAATCAAACTAGAAACTGAGCAAATGACATTTCACGGAAGAGGATACGCAGATGGCAAATAAGCACGTGAAAAGATGTGCAACATCATTAGCCATTCGTGAAATGCAAATGAGGACATCAGGACACTTTTATAAAAATGACTTAAAAATAGTGACAATACCAAATGTTGGTAAGGTTGCAGAGAAACTGGAATGCTCATATATGCTGGTGGGAATGTAAAATGACACAGGCACTCTGGGAAACAGTTTGGCAGTTTCTTAAGAAACTACAACCACCGTACGAGCCGGCAAGTGCACTCCCGGGCATTGATCCCAGAAAAGTGAAAACTTATGTTCACACAGAAACCTGTGCATGAATGTTCATAGCGGCTTCTTTTGTAATACCCAAACCTGGAACCAGTCCGGATGTCCTTCAACGGATGACTGGATAAACAAAGCGTGGTACATCCCAAAAGGTTATATACTGTATGATTTCATTGATAGAACATTCTTGAAATGAGAAAATTCTAGAAATGGAGAACAGATGTGGCTAAAAAAGGGCAGCATGAGGGATCCTTGGGGTGAGGGAATGTTCTGTATCTTGATCGTATTAACATCAATATCTGGGTTGTGGTATTGTGCTATAGTTTTGCAACATGTTACTGGGATATAATGATTTATAAGAAATGATATATTTGCTCATCCAAATGACCCAAGTTATATTTCTCAGATATATTTGCACTTCATCCACAGTTCCCTGAAAACACTTCAGAGCCGTAAAGGTGAAAATGGGTGTCTTGCTGTTAATGAAAGTGACTTTTGGACCCCACCCAAGGGCAAAGGCTGGTTGTCAGGGGAACCAACCGTGTCACTATAGGGTTGAAACTTTCAGCCCCACCCCCTGACCTTGGGCGAGGGGAGAGGCTGAAGGTTGAATTAGCCAATGGCCAATGACTTAGTCAATCCTGACTATGTCATAAAGCCCCCATAAAACCCCAAGAAGACAGGGTTTTTTGGTCCTTTTTTTTTTGGAGAGCTTTCATGCTTGGGGAACCAGAATGCTTCCGTGCCACTGAGGTGGGATCCAAGATCCATGACAACAGAAGCTCCTTTGTTCAGGAACCGCCCCCCCCCAACCCCGTGTATCTCTTCATCTGGCTATCGATTCATAGCCTTTAATAAACTGCCAAATGTAACTGTTTCCCTGAGTTCTGTGACCTGCTCTAGCAAATTAATCAAAGTTCTTCGTCCTTGGAACCCACAATCTGTAGCTGGTCGGTCAGAAGCAAAGGTGATGGCCTAGGGTAGTGACTGGTATCTGGCTGGAGTGAGAGTAGGACTGAACCCTTAACCTGTGGAATTGGATGCTATCTTCAGGTAGTGTGAGAATTGCTTGCTGTGTGTGGGGGAAGCCCCTCCTCCCACATTGGAATTGGGTCCAGGAACCCTAAAAGAGTTACCATTGAGGAAAGCTAGGTAAAGAGAACTCAGGATCTCTCTGTATCATTTCTCACAATTGCATGTGAACCTACAATTATCTCAGTAAACTTTTAAATTAAAAAAGAAAAGGAAATACACGAAAAACCTTTGGGCTTACTTCTGTCTAGGAGCTATAATCGTGTCACTGGTTGCAAAGGAATCTGTCATGAAAGAAAAGCTCAGTTGTTTTCTCAAAGCTAACTAGGTCAAACAATAAACTAATAATAGCAAGTTATTTAGCAAGCTATAAACCAAAAAGGTGTAAAAACTTGGCAGTTGAATTCTATTTCCTACTTCTCCATACCTTAGAAGACTGAATAGGCCATAGTGATCAAGGTAGAAATAACACTGTTTCAACAAATGACAGAGTATTTGAGAGAAGGGAGGGTCCCCAATGTCTTGAGAATCGATGACTCATAAAGGGTTGTGTGTGTATCTGCCAGGAGGATTGAGGAAACAAAGGGTTGAGGCTAAGACTGTTATGAGAAGGGAGTACTAAGATAACATTAGATTTTTTTTTTTAAATATTGACATCTGCCCACCTGGTGTACAAGACACAGTCCCAATAGACACGCACAATTTTAACCCCGTGATGCGTGAAAAAGAACTATTTTTGTGGAGAAAAAAGGTAGCATTTCCTTGTAAGCACTGAAAGAAAAGAGAAAATGTAAAGATCCTAAGCTCATTACTCTTAACACATCTTCCCCTCCCCAATTAAACAGGCAAATCACCCTAAAGAAAAGTGCTTTTCAGCCTGAATATTCATCAGACTATGTAACCTAACTGTACCGACTGCATTTTGATTTTGTAACAAAACCTTTTTATAAAAGCCAGTTGATAAAAAAAAAAAATGCCGGTACATCTACAAATGAATATAAATTAATCCCCTTTAACATCTAAAAAACTGTATAATATGTACAGTAACCAGTAGTTTTCTAAAAGCCACGCAGTTTTAAATTGCTATCAGTATTCGCCACAAAGAACCACGCACAAAAATACCAAGCAACCGTTTTGCCGCCAGTGTATTTTCTAAATTCACCACTGAATTATGGAGGTACAGTTTAACTGATAGGTATTTTCAGTACCGGAAGCCGGGGCTCGACAAGCAAGAAGCAGCGTGTTGGAATAACAGTTCGTAGCAGTTCGTGGCAGTTCGTTAACAGTTCGTAGCAGTTCGTGGCAGTTGGTAACAGTTCGTAGCAGTTCGTGGCAGTTGGTAACAGTTCGTAGCAGTTCGTGGCAGTTCGTAACAGTTCGTAGCAGTTCGTAGCAGTTCGTATGGCAAGCGATGGCAGGGCAGAGCAGATGTTGTCTAGGCAGAGAATGACTGGGTTTGCAGTTCGTCACTTGTAGGACCTTCATCCGATTCTTCCGTAGCGGTGTTGCCTTCGTTGTTGTCGTCATCTAGAGTTTCTTCGTTGTCATCCTTGTCTTTCTCTTGTTGGAACTCTTCGGAGATCAGTTGTCTAGCCAGCTTGAGGTGCAGTCCTTCGTTATAGTGTAGTTTCCTTTTCATTTCGAACTGCCGCTGCTTTTCTTGCTTGTCGAGTAGGATCTTGCTGCTGTGTGCCCCGTCACTCTCCGGCTCTCCTAACTGGCAGTTCAACTCCGAGGTACCACTGGCGGCTAATTTCTTGGCTAAGATGTCTGGGGTCATGGCTTCCTTTGCTTCCAAATCATTAACTGGCTCTTCTCCATTGTCTTGTGGGCTGAAGTAGGGGCTGCTGGGCTCGTTGATCTTCATTAAATCGTAGTCTCTGTAGGCTGGACGTTGTGTGGCCATGATGTTGGATTCGTCCCATTTCTGGGACTTTTTTCTCTTTACCTCCGGTAATGTCCCTCCCGACTGCTGGGCAGAGGCAGTCACCAAGGAAGCAGTGGAACTCTTGTTCTTCAGTATCCCCTTGATGGGCCGGTGTGAGGTGGTGGAGGTCGCCATGCCTGCCTGGGGAGCCAAGAGCCGCCGAGGGAGGGTTGGGCCACCGCAGCCTCCTGCCCGCCCTCCAGGCTGAAGCGGCAGCTCGGTCTGTTCTGGGCACTGGTCGCAACGTCCTAAGAGCTTCACCAGGTCCCAGCGTCACAAAGGACACTGCAGATGGCATCACAGAGGTGGCCGCTGCCGTCATGGCCGCCGTCATGGCCCCCGTCACCGCCTCCCAGCCCATGCTGGCAGTTTTTTTGTTTTAAGGAGTAAAATGGGAAATAGCCCTGTGTTAAACATGAAACAGGGAAGTACTGTTTTGTGAATTTCTACGTAGCCTGTCTGTGTACCAGAGGCTACATAAAACATATGTCTTACTGTGGGTCCCGGTCAAAAATTTGCCTCACTACTTTGGTTAGAAAGATTGGAGGTATAGGTGCTACAAGGCGATTACCTTCTGCTCCTTCCTTCTGTCACCAGGCACACCTCCCTCTCCCCTACCTACTGACACACACAAGCACGCACACACACACAAAACCCCTGGTCTTTCTCTCATGCTCTGCCTCTTGGTTAATGGCCCCAATATCCAGTCACTTAGACCAGCTGGGAACCTGGCATCATCTCCCGTGCCTCACTCTCCAGTCTAGCCCTCAGGCACTGGCCTAAATAGTTCGAGAAACTCTCCAATTCTCTCTCTTCCACCACCACCCTGTTTCATTTCACCACCACCTCTTGTGGGGACTACAGCCACAGCCTTTGAACTGTGCCCTGTCTCCTGTAACCCCTCCTACTCCCTTCCAACCTCTTTTATCCACCCTCTAGCTAGAGTGGTTTTTCAAAAACACCCACCAAGTCTTGTCACATCTCTCTTTCAAACCCCTTAACAGCTGCCCATTTTCTGTAACATAAAGACCCAAGTCCAGAAGAAGCCAAAAAAGGCAGCTCTCTGAACTGCTCAGACATACGTCTGGAGCATTCTCCCGCTGAAGTCTTCCCGCCCTACCTCCAGCTTTCAATTCTGGCCTTTCCGTGCCAAGAGCCACTTCGTTTCCTGTCCCAGAGGCCTTTACAGTTTTCAGCTCAATCATTATTGCCTTCTTTGGGCCCGTTTCCTGAGCCCCAGGGCAGACGGGCCTTCCTGTGCTCTCATGGCCTCTCTTATTCTCCTTGGCATTGTGATTATACTGTCTGTGCACACTAGATGGTAAACTCCAAGAGAGCAAGGAAGATGTGTTTTGCTCACCATCATCTCCAGCTCTACATCTTCGCAACATGATGCTGTACCTGGCACATAGTAGGTATTACAAAAATATTTATTGAGTGAATAATAAATGAGGGGTGATGGGGAACTGGAAGAATAAGATGTGTGAATAGAGAAAGGAGGACTCCAGAGCCTTTACAGTCAGTTACCATTTGTCCAATTAGTCACGTGGTGGGGGGGATAAAAACCCATATGTGGAATTTGGGGGCTGTTATAGGAGTGACTTTGGAACATTTTGTCCTTCACAGGCCTCATATTTCACAGGCAGTGACATTCTCCTAAAAAACAAAAAGGAAATTAAGATCCAGTTTCACATTCTCCCCCCTCCAGGTAACACTCACAAGACTTTTTTTTCCCTTCTGATAACATTTTGCTTCCTCCTCTCTCCCTCAAGGTCTTTCTGCATTTTCGAAACACAAAAGCAAAAGCATGAAAGAACCATAAAACTTTTACAAGGGTCTTAAGCACCTTAAGTTCAAGTTGTCCTGTAGTCTCCAAAGTCCTACTAACTTCAGGAACTCTGCAATCACTTTAAAACTGTGTTATTCATCTCAGAAAAAGAATTTCCTGATACCCTACTCTTTGGGGGAAAAAAAAAGCTGTATTCTGTGGTGAGGGCTTTCAGGGATTCAAAAGCTGATAGTCAAGCCTACAGGACAACCCTCCGGTATGTGAAGGGAGGAAAAAAACAACCTTCATTATTCAGAACTACTACAGGCTACCCTTTTTAAAAAGCCTAAATGCAAGGCAACACAGAGCAGCACAAATGTGGCTAGTCCTCCTGGCTGGTAGGCACAGTGGGTCTGTGCATGTTTAGCTGTAAACAGGATGTTAAAGGGAGATGCTGATTCCAGAGCACTGGGATTTTGCTTTTGTCCGTACACAGCACCCACCCCCACATACTGTGATCTGAATATACAAGCTGCTCAATATATAATGAGTCAGCGATCTGGTTGTTCTTGAGCTTTCTGAAATTCATCTTTCAGTAGCACAAAGGCAGTTCATGCTGAGGCAGGAGCACTATGATTGTGACCTATTACATGGGCCACAAACAACATGGTTTAAAGAGAGACTCCGCCAGGCCTGACAGATTTCAGTTGTACCTTACGTAAAAGTAATCCTTTTTCACCTACCATTTGCTCATTATCTGCTTAATTAATGAAAAGCTCCCTAAGAAAAACCCAAGTTTTGAGTTCTTGTCATCAAACTAAAAATTCTCAATCTCAGCAACCCTACCATAAGCTTGAGTTAGAAAAGATCAGCAGCCTTTCCAACATTCCTCTTTCTTTATGCTATTCACTTGTTATCGCCCTAGGACAAGAGAGGAGCAGTTATGTTTGAGGCTCCATCATACACACACACACACACACACACACACACACACACTTCAGGGCTAACTAAAACTTTCCCAGTCAATGATACATTATATGAAATTTACATACACACCTAGAAGGTCCTTTCGACAAATATTTAGTGACCGTCCACTGTATTTCCAAGAGCAGAACCTTCCTTTCAAATGCACAGAAAGCCAAGTGGTGCTTCGGTGGTCCTCAATGGGTTGATGTTTGATAAAGACATCTAAATATCCATGCTGTTCTATCATCACAATTTTAAAAAATATTTTTAAAATATTACTGATTTTTAAAATGTCATTTGAACCCTCTGATGTTTGCACAGGATCAGAGTATTCTGCAGAGCACTGATTGACTCCACAGCTTTGTTTCTTCCCCTGAGAATCACCTCTTTTCCATGGAGACATTCTCCAAGCGCTGTAAGTATGGGGTTGGTTCGAAAGGAGAACCAAGCTGGGAATAAAGAAATTCTCAACTAAAGGTGGAAACACCTAAGAAACCAAGAGTTCCCACCAACAAGGAAGGTATCCCAGATGTCCCACTGGTTGCCATTAGTGAGAGATTAGTAAAACTCTGATAAGGCAGTGGGCTATTCGGGGACCAATCATGCTACTGGAAGTGGGGATTAGTACTAGTTTAGCCATGTGGTATCTGAAGTCATGCACAGTTTATCCAAGAATTATCCACAGTACTTGGAGAACTATGTTAAATACTGTGTGGTATGAAAATGAAAGTGCTCTTTGGTTTTGAATCTCTGTTTCTTGCCCCATTTCTCTCTCTCATATTCCAAACCCAGGTTTCTGACATTCTACTAAATATCTGTATCTTGGATTGGGTTCCCTTACAAACCAACCCTGAGATAAGGATTCAAGTGCAAGTAGTCTATACTTGAGAAGAGATTTGCAGAAAACATTGGTAAGGGAGTAGGGAAGTGAGACAGGGGAGGGCAGGAGACAAAGGGTACATCACCAAAGCACTTCCTCCTGTGGGCAGCTAGAGCTTAATCCTGCTGCAAAACTGGGAGTCAGTGAGGAAGAGTGACCCCCGTGGCTCACCTCCACCTCATGGGTGAGGGTGCTGGAGTATATTTATGCATCAACTGCTGCTATCTTTACTTAAGGCCTGCTGGGAGTGGGGAGGGGCATTAACTCCCCACACTTTGGATTCCTGCTGGAGCATTGGGAGTGGATGGCCAGTGTGATGATGCATCCTCCTGTTGGCTTCTTCTCATCCTTTTTCACAAATCTTCTCCTGCTCTCCTGCTCCCTGGGCTCACAGTCCTAAATGAAAGTCTTTCTCTCCAGCTCTGCTTTTACAGGCATTACCCAGACTAAAACAAGGATTGTGCATTTTATCTTCAGTTCCCCCACACCTAACACATAATTGACACCTGTCTAAACTCTGGCACATGCCCATATTTCTGTAAAGCTGGTGAATGAACTGAGGAAAGTGGACAAAAATCTTTTGAAAAGAGGAGTCTGACAATATGGGCAGATCTAGAGAGGTTCAGTGAAGTGATGGTTTTCTATCTTTTTCATTAAAAGTTTGAAAGCAGTGAGACTTTTTTTTTTCCAAATGAAATATTACATAGAACTCCAGAATAACAATTGATAACATTGGAGCTGGGAAGCAATGGAGTTGGTCTGTCTGAATGAAGTGGGGAGCCCAGAGTTATCATCACTTGGCACCTCAGAGGTGGTTCCTGCGGCATCACAGGGACCTGAGGAAGGAAGTCAATTTGAAAACCACTGTGAAAGTGAGTTGTTGCCCAAAGCATGAGTGTTTGGTTACCCCAAGTGTTGATTTTCTGAGTGGTCACTTGTCTTAAGGAGATTTTCTACTGTGGTGTTTGACAATCATAATCATTGAGAGTAGGTCACAAAGGAGACAGGACATCACTGAAAATGTCTGATGTAACATAGTAAACATCAGCTTAGCCCCCCTCCAAGGGGATAATCCAGTTTGGGAATATTAAAGGAAGAGAAAGATCATCAGTGGGAATGTCTGCCAGGAGTTATACAGAAAGTAAAGTCAAAGATACCAGAAAACAGGCCTTGCAGGGATTGGCTGAAGAGTTTGTGGGAGAGAAGTGTTCTTCCTGTTCCCTAAAGGACGCTAAAATGTTTCATAGGAAAAGGAAAGGTGGTTCCTCTTCTTTCTCTTGACCCTGCTTGGTCAGGGAAGGAGCTATTGATAAAATAGAACATGGTTTTATCAATCAATTATTTTCATATATACACATAAAGTTAGATTCCAGAAAGTATCATTTTGGCTCAGATGGAAATCCTGAAAGTAATTATCAGCCAAACCCAGGAGATGGGAAGGGGGTTGGATCTAAACCTGGGGAGGAAGGGGCGCCTGGGTGGCTCAGTCGGTCAAGCGTCTGCCTTAGGCTCAGGTCGTGATCCCGGAGTCCTGGGATTGAGCCCTGGGTCGGGCTCCCTGCTCAGCGGGGAGTCTAGTTCTCCCCCTCCTTCC